CGGTGTTTGAAATTAGTTCATCCGTGAATATTGATGGTTATGGTAGTTTCAGGATATCCTGCACAAATGCGCGCAAAAGAAAATATAATCTCATCGGCAGGATCCTCTTATATATAGCCTCAAGAAGAATTTGCTAAAATCAAAAAGAAAATGTTCCAACGTTAAAAATAAAAGAGGAGAAGCTCTGGTTGCAAAGTATTGCTTCCCTTGCAATACCATATTCTAAGCGAAACCTCTCATCGAAAGAGCATTTCTTTTGTAATAAAGTGAACGAAAGTCTACTAGATATTGCTCTAACTTTTTTTCATTTTGAATATGTCTACTTAAAGCAACATGTCCTCTTACTAGAAAATATGTCTATGAAGAACAAAAAACCTATTAAAAAAAGTACAAGATTTTTTCGACTTTAAGAACATTATGCTTAGAATGTTTTCCTTTTGGTTTTAAGAGAATCTTCTTGAGGCCATATATAGAAGAGGACTTGGTGGAAGATAAGATTGTATCGTTTTGGGAGTAGACAAAAGAAGAAGACAATTTTTTTGCAGCTATTGTTTTGGCACACCTTAGCAGTTTTCGTTGCTTACAACAGCCGATTTTTTCTGAAGGATTACTCGACGTGACGTACCAATTTAATGTCCTCCATCGATTCGATTATCGTTCGCGCGATTTCTCTCCGTGTGGCAGGTAGGCACAGGAGGAAAATAGGGATTCTGACGATCAACGAAGCGTTTACGGGTGGCGATCTATCATCTGCGCATATAACGTGTGCGTAATAACGAATAACGGCGTTATTTTATTTTATTTTCCGACGCCGCGCCGACGCCGGCCGACGGCACTTCATTAGCAATTAATTCGACGTACGACCGATCGATTAACAAAACCAATTTAATCGGCACTCGGTGCGCGGATGACCAGTTCTATTAATTGGCGGAATAATCGGATCACGAGGGATTGCCGGATAACGGTCTGCTCGCAAGGTATTACTTTCGATAATAAGCACCATTATCGTTCGTTGAATCGATATCTTACTACTATGGAGCAGTTCGGCCGCCTGTGAGTGAATATACGCGTATGATCACCAAACAAAGAAGGGAAACACGATACGCACGTGTGCGACACGTTGCACGCTCTTTCCCTCTTCTCTCTCCCTCTCTCTTCCGGCCAGACCGGAACCAAATCACAGATCAAACTGACAACAATACCGTCCGCTTATTAATCGTTCTCGGATTGCAAGCGATTATAAAACAAACAGCTCATACCACTGATTAAGTCACGGACACGTGAGTGATCAAATAATAGTGGAAGATGATGAAGTCTTTGAATCATCGTTCACAAAATAACATAGCTGCATGTGCTTAGCATAAGATCGCCTAGATCAATATGACAACTTTATCCTAGATGCTTATTACTTGAGGTGGTTTTATGCACGTGCAGCTATGTCATTTTGTGTGCGACGGCCTTTACTCCCTCGCACAGAAAAATGCATACTGCATTCAGGTAAATGTCACTTGTTTCAATACATATTTTTACGTATCCGCAAATTTACCACCACAAGCAAATTTATTCAAGACACACTTCGAGTCCTAGTAAGTTTTAGCATTTCAATGAAGAATATCAAATTAAGATTCAGTTTACTTACTGCATAGAATTTTTCGACGAAACCTTGTGATATTCTTGTAAAGAGAATACACTCTTGTTTTAAGTACATGATAATGAGTTTTTTTCAAATTTGCGATGAGTAGATCTCAAGACTTTTGCCAAGAAAATATTCTTTGTTGAGAACAGCCATTACTTAAAAGAAGGAAAGTAAACTGATAAGTAAACCTCCAAAAAGTACACTCCGATTTCTTTCTAATTTGGTACAAATGTAGAAATATAAAAAATATTTAAGTCATGTTTTTTTTATTTTGGCCCACTTTGAATTTCACGCAGGCAGTTATAGCTTTTTAATGTTCTCACTTCTATTATCAACAAGTACAACAAAAATGCATAAGGAATAAAATTAAATACAAAATATAGTTAAATAATTTCAACAAAATCGGCTTAGCTGAGACACGAAACATTCGAAATTTCTTTAGCCGAAATTCCAACGGAAATATTTTAAATCAGTGCTAAATTAATCAAAAATGGTTCGAATCTCAACCAAATCGAAATCCGGCAATTTTAATTAAACTTAACAAAATCGGCTTAGCTGCGACACGATCCATCTTAAATTTCTTTAGCCGAGATTTCAACCAAAATATTTAAAATCTGTGCTAAATTAGTCAAAAATGGTTCGAATCTTTGCCAAGCCGAAATCTGGAAATTATAAACTTTTAACAAAATCGGTATAGTTGAGATATGAATCATGCGAAATTTCTTTAGCTGAGATTCCAACCAAAATATTTCAAATCTGTGCTAAATTAGTCAAAAATGGTTTGAATCTCGGCCAAACCAAGAAATTATTTGTATAATTTTTTTTCGATTTTTTACATGTTTTGTTGAAACATTTTATTATTTATACAAATAATTTTATACATTTGACTTCATATTTATAAGCAAACCAGAAACGTCTATATCTTGTATACAATTTTATTTCTTATGCATTTTTGTTGAGTTTGTTGATGATAGGACTGAGAACATTAAAAAACTATAAACTGCCCGTGAAATTCAAAGTGCGCTAAAATAAAAAAATATGATAAGTATTTTTTACTTCTACATTTATGATACAAATATATTCTACAAATATGATAAATATTTTTACTTCTACATTTGTGCCCAATTATAAAGAAATCGGAGTGTAACTTTTGGATAGGGTTACTTGTGAGTAATATAGCTTTTCTTAACAATAGAGAATGATATTTTTCTGTGCGCAAGTGAGTGCAATGTGCACAATTGACGGAATTTTCAAAAGGGACGATTGGTATAACATAATTAACGTGAGATATCAAGATTGAAAGTCGCGAAGAAAGAAATGATCACGTCCAATGCGGTCTCCCTTCGCAATTTTCGATTCATCTTGCGTTCTTCTTTCTCTTCCTTTTTTCTTCTCACTAATACGAACCGATTTCAATCGGTGTGTGTTACATATAACGAAACGAAACGCAGAATACTTATTAATCGCGGCCGACGATCCAGGTCTGAACAAAAACTGGTCGATAAGCGATCTTATGTGCTTCGTGCGCGCGCGTATAATTACCATCGGCTTCAATTACAGCGAGAATCTAAATTAATTTCGCGGGTTGGTGCGTGCATTCCGCCGTTGGTATTAATCGTTGCGCGAATGATCGATTATTAGGCTCGCGAGCGGTTGAATCATTTATTAGTAACGAGAATGGTGAAGGTCTCCCCGTTGTGCTGGCGAATCCGGTCTGAAGGGAAACGAATGTATCGCCAGTTATTAATTACGCGGTCGCGGCTGTAAATAATTCCCATCGGGCCGGTCGCTCGTTTTGAGTTGCAAGAATGGCGCGTTTCGGTATCGTAATACATTATCATAGACAATATTGACGAGCGAGCCGTCTGTGGATTATAGCCGCACTGTTGCCAAGTTTAATTAAAGCTATGATCTAGCTCGTCTATTGCGCCCGCTATTGCGACGAACAATTCGCCCCAATTGCATCATTGCGCCGGTCATAATAAACGTATTGCTCCTATTTAATTGAGCCGCGCGCCAGTTTTGTGCCGGCCACATCGACGTCGATATGCCTCGCGCCGCTTTGTCGAATCAAAGCGCGAATACCTCACTCGATGTCGATGGGGCTTCTCGAGATGAGAGTACATAGGAAAAAAAACAGTATGACTGGCTCGCACACGAATCTGGTTGCGCCCCAGCCGATTCCAATCAATAGTAAAATACAGAGCAACTAATTACGTGGTTGCCGCAACCACAGTACAATCGCTGAGTTACAGTGACAATGTCTGATTGCTCCAACCAGAGGGTATCCATGGTAAATGTCACCTCGACTGATTTCTGGCTGCCACAACCAGATCACGCACAGCTACGCTGATGCGGTTGATGTGCCGAAATAACTGAGTCATATCAACCATGCACGTTACCATCATACAAAGATTACTAAGGCGATACAACCACACTGAGAGAGAGACATGGTTGATCTAACTCAAATTATAGTTATCTTTGGCCCCAACCATATTTTTCACAATAAAGTGATAGTAGTAGTATTAGTCAAAAATTTTAACAAAATCGGCACAGCTGAGACACAAACCATTCTAAATTTCTTTAGCTGAGATTTCAACCGAAATATTTCAAATCTGTGCTAAATTAGTCAAAAATGGTTTGAATCTCGGCCAAACCGAGAAATTATTGTATAAATAATTTTTTTTCAACTTTATATAAGATAACGCGTATGAGATTATTATCACTGACATTATATGAGAATTTAATTTCAACAAATGGTTTCCTTGGCCATAGTTTATAGTAATTATTTCTCTACATAATTATACAAATGCCAAACGTTTCTTTCTCAGTGTATGCTGCTCACAACTAAATATTTCAGGTCACGTGCATCATACCTCTTTTTCCGTGTAGCGAAAAAAGAACGACACTTCTCCTCATTGAGGATAAAGTAGCGCGTCTTACACTGACTCGGGTGATCGATCTGTCGAATTATAAATTTCAAATCCCCACCTTTCATTAGGGACGCTTTCCCCGTCTCAAAGTTTCCACGAGCGAGGGAGGGACGAGCTGTTTTAAGAAACGAAGCGAAGCTACTTTGCGAATCGATTAGCTGACAACAATTCCCATCTTGTCCCGGCTTCTCTCTCGGCCGTTCCCGTGTCTCGATAGCCTTTTTCGTCAGCTTCTCGAAATATCACGGCGCCCGTCGTGGCGCGTGAGATGTAAATCTGACGGCGAGTAATCCGCAACAGTTTGACGTGGGGAAAGTTAAAGGGCAACGGCGAATGAACGGACGGACGGATGGGGCGAGTTTGCGCGTCCGCGAGATAGTTCGCGCGGAAATGACGAGGGATCGCGTCGGCGCGGGATGCACTCGACTTACCGTAGAACCAGCACTGTTTCTCGCCAAAGCGGGGCCTGAGGTATGTGTATTGAGGCTGAGGCGGTAGATGGTCGAGAAGGGCCGCCAGCCCGGCGACTAAGAAAGGCCCACCCCAGGCGTAACAGCCGTACACTCGTAGTCTAAGAGTCTCCTGGCCTTTCTCCAGGCTCACTGGTCTCAGATCCCTGAAAAAGAGAATTAGGTCAGTTAACGGAGAATGCAGCGATCGTGAGGAGAACGCGGCCGAGTGCGCGTAAGTATGAGTAAGTATGAATACGCTCTTCTTTCCCTGCTTTTCTTCTCCATTATAGAGGATGAATAGCTGAGAGCCACCCGCGGCAACCAGCTTGTTTCTCGCTCGTGGTTGGAATACATGAATTATAACGCGCGACTTGTAACGAACGTACGCGTGTACACAACGCGTCGTGGATTACGTTGTACTTATAATTAGATGCATTCACACGTCAGGAGGATGATCATAGAATAAATGAACGATGCATTTCAGAGCCGGTTGTCCCGAGATATAATTATCTATTCGAATCAATCTCACGTATCGGGTTCGGAATAAATTTATTATCGCACGCGAGTCCCTGCATTTTTGGCGCATAGCCAACGACATTTACAGATGCAAAAGTCACACAAGACGCCATGAGGATGATCATGCGACGAGACAAACACTTTTGCCAAAGCCACCGATTGGTGGCTGTCTGTTTCGCCTATACTGAAATAACAGTGAGCTGGAACAATTATCTCCCTCGTAACAACGTGATGCTTGCGTCACGCCGGTAAGAACACAATAGAGCCACGTATATGTCATCGGCGTCATCGATCAAGCCCCGTAACTATTAACGAGACCGCGTCGGCTGCGTGAGAATTCCGCGCGTTCACTCGTAACTCGGACTAAATCGTAAAGCTTTGTCATTGTCCGGCCAGTTCAACGTCGCTACAACGACACTCGTGGCTGGGAGATGAACGTGGGGCTTAGCACCGTGAGGGGCTGCTACTCGTAAATCGCATGCTATCGATATCACAATGTTACCGTGAACACACGCAGCAAATGTCGGCTATCGTAAACGAGCGTGTCGTGAAAAAGTGGATAACAGAGAAAAGGTTAGTTGAAATACAAATCGCACCGTGAGAGACGCCATATTGAGGAATATCGATTTGAATGCGCAGCGCGGAGATTTTTCTGAAATTTTCAATCGTTCCCCCGGAAGCAAAGCCGCGACGCGATATTCCGTGCAACGCGACTGCGTGAAATCATAGTACGGGACAAACAAAGATATAACGCGAATAATTAAACAGCCCGCTGTAATTCTCTGTCCAAATTAATAATTGATAATTTTTGCTGAAAACGCGCTAATGGACAAAAAATAATGACGTAATAATAAATAACATGGGCAAATAAGTACAGATTGGTTTGTGTGTGAATGATGTATTACAAGCCTTGGAAACGCGTATCGGAAAAACTGAGAGAACATACATTGCGGATGCTGTATTCTTTGCATCCTAAACATATCCTCCGTAACGGGAACGGGAGAAAGGGAGTATCGCGACGCGGCACTTTTCCTACATTGTGCAAATTTTGTAATGTTCCCTCTTGTTAGCACAAATTTTTTTAACGCGGGTAACTTTATATAATTCGCGATTCACGCGGAGAATAAAAATGTAGTTACATTAGTGAGAGCTTTGTAGCCAGGTGACATGAGTTGGGGCGGAGAGACATTTTCATTTAAATATTCCCTTTGTACGTTCGGCCTCTCTGTATCGCAACCCGTTATATAAATTTTTACTGAAGTTAATCCGGACGCAGGTGCGTGCCGCAACGAGTGCGCGCGTCTCGTGAAAAGTAAAAAACCTGAACAATTTTCGCGGATTCGGTCGTGTTTGCGCGTCAGGTAGTTTCGCAGCTCACAAATAATAAAGTATCCGCGCGCGCGATAACCAACGTCACATATTATTACGTTTCGTATTTATTAACGTATATTAAATGCGTAATTGTTAGCGCGCACACAACAGTATAAATAATAGAGTTTGTAATTACGCGAAAAGATATTGCGATACAGCCTCAGATAGCGTTATGAATATTAATGCAAATGTGAAATACACAATTTATAATTATACGAGTGCGTTATTACGCGCGCGTCTCTTTCTTTCTTTTTCTCTCTCTCTACAAAATAAAATTAGATTAAATATGTTTATCTGTATATAACTTCTTCCGTTCTTCTTTAATCAAGTTAATCCTTCCTCTCAATAAAGATACAGATAAGACATATCGACGTTGACAGTTTTGCAGTATAAACGAATGCTTCAACAGGAGCTTAATTCAAGATGTAATTACGAAGAAGTTTAATATCGAGAGATATAAACGCTGACAAGAGGTATTATCCATTGAGATTCTCACTGAGAGCAATCAAACGCGGTTCGTGGCGGACAACTGTGGATGATGAGAGGAATTATGCGACGATTCACGAGTACCTTATTCGATTAAGCTACGTGGAAAAATACTTCTCGCGCGGCTCACCCAACGATATCTCGCAGATGCCACGTCGTTTAATCTTCCGGGACGCGTTTCGCCTCTCGATGAAGATGTCCGAGGCGCGACGCACGGGAAATCTACGCGAGTGCATTCCAGCGAGGAGAAGGAGGAGAAACGGAGGACGGATGGATATCTCAAGATATACTAATTTCGCAGTGCTTACGCCTCATTTCCGGCGCTGTTAATTAGGCGTCGCCAGTGCGGGCGTACGTCGTCCTCCGCGACTCTCTCTCTCTCCCCCAGTTCCGCTTTCTCTTTCTCCCCTCTCTGCTGCAACTTCGGCCCCGCTATTCCCTGCGTGTGGAAAGGAGAGCTGGGAGGATCGAAGTTGGGGGAGGAAGGAGACGAGAGAAAGGCGGTAAACGCACGCGGGAGACCGCGACGTCTCGCTTCGACGTCGGCACGACACGGCGGCGCCACGATAATTTTCCACCCTAGCCATTTCCTGGTGGAAACAGAGACAGAAAGAGAGAGAAAGAGAGAGAGAGAGAGAGAGCCGGAGGCATTCCCTGGCTAGGGGGATCGAGGGAAACAACGTTAAATATCGCGGTCGGGAAAATTAGCGGACTGTTAGGTCCGCTCACGCGGTCGCTTGCACGCGTGGGTGCACCACACATTCGCTCGCACAGAGCGCATCGCACGCTGCCGGTGCACCGGTGCGTGAGTGAGTTAATCGCGAGGCTGAGAGACCTCCGATGCGAGGAGGCAATTATGCGAACGACGACGACGAGGACGACGACAACTCGTGCCGAGACGAAAGGGATTAGCCGCGTGATTTTCTCCCTTGCTTCTTGCCTGTTCTCGATACGCACGAAGATTGTCGGGGCGCGGTGGATAGATACGAGTGTATTTTTGCGATATAATGAATCTCCTCCCCGAGAAAGAGGACGGGCCCCGTATCTCATTTAGACGGAAAACGGCGCGCACTTTCAGAAACGACGCGCATTGTGTAATTGTATCTCCCGCTCGGCCGGTGAAAGAGTTCCACACGGGGGGGCATGCATGGAAGTTATAAAGCCGAGATAACGAAGTCGGTTATTAAATAGACGTCAGGTAGCCATTGTTAATCTTTTGATCCTCCGTAACAGCTATTACGGCCTACGCGAGGGCTCTTATTATGATCGCTTTTTCTTCGGAATATTGCCCTCTTGTACCTCCTAATACCGGAAGCGGGCAACTGCCTGCGTGTAATAACCTAATATCGCCATGCGGATTATTGTAGCGTAAATGTTCTATCACGGGTTCGGGAACATTCGCCACATGTTCGAGATTTGTTTCGAAATTAAAATAAAGCTTTGGGCTCTCCGACCAAACCGGACGGTATTTAAATTCATTCACTAATTGCACAAATTAAAAGTATAATAAATCACTGGTGCGTTCTATAACGCATAACAATTAGAAAATTGAAATCAGCACAAGTATGATAATTCTCGCGTTACGATAATTAATGGCGATTATTCGACGTCTTAATGTCTTTTAATGTGAAAGCCGCAAAAATTGTTGTCGACGAATGTTATGTAATCCCACAGACACACAAGTAATACCGAGGCAGCTTTTGAATCACTCTCAGTTATTGCAATTTGGGAAAACCAAGCGACGTTTCAGCAGCGCGACGGCGCACCGTACGTATTACATTCATACTCGGAGATCATTAAGCGGGCAAAGTGCAACGAGATCTGTCCGTTTTCACCAGACTGCAGCGCAAAAGTCGCAGCTGCGGAGACAATATTAACAGAAGGGATAATATTAGTGGTTTCCGTCTCTTATTTACCGACATATTGCACAAACCGGCGTACATACGCGACTCGCGAGTGCTTTGATCTCTTTCACGAGAAAGATCTCCGGCGCACTTCACCGATGTGTCACTGCCGACGGTTCCGCTCACCTGGCTGCAGTGGACACACGGCAACGACAACGCGGTGCGAGGAATCGACGAAATTGACGAGCAATGTGCGCGAGCGGGCCGTACATCGTCAGTACATAACAGATCATTTCGTTAGAACATTTCGCTTATAGTTGCAGCTCGTTTTCAAAGCTCATATTTTAGTCGCGCTATCTTTCCGTGCGCGGGACTTTAAACGGCGCAGATGCAATGTCGGTGTACTGTCTCGTGGGTAGCGGCAGCTAAGAGCTCCATATTTATCTCCCCGATATGGTAATTATACGGACGGCAATTAGCGGCGGTGTCAGCTCGAGGTACGCGCCAAACGGCGCTGTCTCTCGCCGGAGAGAACACATAGAGACACGGCGTAGCTGCTCGTTACGGACGCAAGATGGACAAGAAGATATTTATTTATTACGTCGACAGACGTCCCCCGTGTTCGCGCCAAACAACAGCCTCGCGATAAAGCGCGTGCTTTATCAGCGTGTGACGGGGAGGGACCGGTCGTCGAGGTGTAAATCAGGTGGAGATTGATGAACGAAATTCTTGCTCGTGACTCATTACCACCCCTGAACACGTAATGTGATAAATGGCGTATCAAATTATATTATTTGATGAAGCGTCTGAACGTCGCGCGAAAGAGCGATCGATAATTTCATTATCTCCGTCTTGGCTCTTATTTTTGGCCCCGAGATCTTTCTAATTGGAAACATATTCCACAGTTCTGATCAGGTCGATCCCCTAATTAGTAATCTGGTTGTACA